GCCTGGCCCCCACCTCCCGCCTCCGGTTGCTCCTGGAGCGCGCGCGTCGTGGAAGAGGAGAGGGGCAGTGGCCCCGAGCGAAGGGGACTCCGCTCCCGAGCCGGGCGCGTCTCTGTTCTGCCAGTTGGAGGAACTGATGGGACTGAGCTGGCCAGGGTCAGAGATCTGAAAAGCAGGTGGGGGTTTCTGGAGGAAGAGGCCTGGCAGGCGGCAGGGCTGTGCTGAGAGGCAGGAGCGGTGCCCAGTGAGCGCTTGGGTTGATGTAGACGCTGCCGGGTCCCTGGGCGGCTGGAGTCCTGTCCTCTTGGGGCCTCGCAGACAAGGCCGTGGGATTTGTGGGCCGAGCGCGTGTGTGAAAGAGAGGAAAAGAGAGAGAGAGAGAGAGAGACGGAGAGGAAGAGACCCAGAGAGAATGACCATACAGACACACACACACACACACACACACACACACACACACACACGTCATTACACACGTCATTATTAGGATAATCACATAATAATTTACATGTGTGAATATGATGGAAAGTTATTTGTAGGAGAGTTGGTGGTGTTTCTCTAAAAAGCCTGCTACATATGGTTCCTTTAATATTGGCAAAGTATTGGAGGTTCCCTTCCTGTGATATTCTCTCTCACCCCCTCCCTCTCCTCTCTCTTTCTCCCCCCCTTCCTCTCTCTCCCTGTCTCTCTCTCTCTTTCTTGCTCAACAAATAACAAATAACAAATAGGAAATTTAAAAATGAGGAGGAAAGGGAAAATGATGTTTTATTTTCAGTAGCCGAATGTGTACATTGCTAACGAATGTTAACACATCTGTTGTATCCATCAGGTTTCCAGATTCATCTTTTCTTTGATTTTAGGTGAAATGACTTACTCTTGTACAAATTGATATCAAGCTCCCAACACATGAAATAGAATTCAATGAACAAACCAAGGAATTTATTGATAGCTAAAAAGTGACTTGATCGCACGTACTGTGATAGTTGACTTCAAATTGCCTCTGATACGATGGTTTGAAATGTGTTAGACCTAGCACCAGAAAACGTTTTACTTTGTATTTTTATGTGTGATTTGCTAAAATTTGTCAGAAACCCCTAATTCAGCTTCATGTTTGTGTTCTCTGGCCTCCATTTGAAAAGCTGGCAGAGAAGAAATTGGTCTGGGTGGGTTGGGGGAGGGGTTTGTGCTTTTCACTTTCTGCAGATGCTGAGTTTCCATGTACATTTTTTCCAGGAATAAGCTCAGAAATTTTTCGAGGATTGTTTTTAAGACAAAAAAAAGCCTGTCCCTTTCAGGTCATTGGCTTGGTCGCAGCCATAATCAATAGTGTCTTTAACTCATCCTTTGCTAATGACCATTCTCTGTCTTATTTAAATGAGATAACATTGTTTGGTCCCTACTGTCCATCCATCTTGGCAGGTGCTAGTTAGAGACAAAGAACACATGTTGACCCAAAGATTCTAATACATCTCCACTCAGAGGGGACCCGTGAGGCAGACAGGGAAAGGATTAGTCACCACTGAATGTCACTCTGGCTGGGTACTGAGCATTTCACCGTTGAACGGGTTCCTCAGAGCAGCTCTTCTGGGAGATGTTTTCTCCAGTATCATTTGACTCAGATAATAAGTTAGAAACTCCTGAAGACCTGGAAGGTGGGCACAGCATTTTGTGCCTGTAGGACTCATGCCAGTTGTTGTGCTACCTCCACTGCCTCCAGAGAGTGTGTTCTTTGGGGAAGGTGGAACTGGCTGACGGATGGCACCAATGTTTTAAAGGGAGAATCCAGCTTCTATGTTTTGACTTTCAGTTCTTTAGGTGTGAGAGGATGGACTTGGGGATCAGTGAGAAGAGAAGCAAGTATTGATTTGGAGGACAGCTGTGCTGTCCTTGGTTTCCCTGCTGCTTCTTGGAATAGTACACTCTGTCACTAGTGGGGAGCTGGGAATGGTAATGGAAGCCTTTCCACTCTAGGAACATGGGCCTAGCATGCTCACTTTGGTTTAAAAATAATGGTGTTGGGCAATGCCCGTAGGTCCCCTCCCAGTGTGGGAGCTTTTCTGTCCTCTCAATAAATCCTGCTCTCAAAAAAAAAAAAAAAAAAAAAATTGATAAAAATAATGGTGTTAAGAATAATGTTAATAGGACCCATCACTTGTTGAGTTTTTGCTTTATTCTAGATAGTCAAATAGGCCTTCTACAAGCCTTATACCCATCTAATATTTGTATTATCTCTGAAAGCAATTATTATCATTTTCAACTCACATTTGGGAAAATTGAGGCAGAAAGAGTAAGTCACTAGTGCAAGGACCAGTGCTAAGAATGTTACCCCCCAAATTTGGGCCTGTTCCACCAGACTTCCAGTCTGTGCATTTTCTGTTACAGAGTGCAACTTCAGTTTACTCATAAATCATTCTTCTAGACAAATGCCTCAGAGGCTCTTTCTTCATCTCTTACATTCTTTGTACTGAAGTGGTAAAGGTTCAGGTGTATATATATTTAAAAACATATATCTTATCAGTCTAAACCTGTTTCTAGTGCTTGAAGATAATTTTGAAAAATAATTCTCACTATGACAGTCTGTGGATTTGTTTCATACTTGCTAAATGTATTTATCTAAAAATTAAACATTATCACTTTTATAAAGTGTTAACTTGGAGCTCATGTTTGGAGTCTAACAAATTTAGATGGAGATCCCAAGTACACACTGCTGCTGTGGTAAGAGTTGGGGACTCCACTTGCTGTGTGACCTTGAATGATTTATCTAGACTCCTTAAGCCTCAGTTCCCTGAGTGACAGGATTTTGAATATCAAATTAGTTATACTATCTAAGTGTCATCTTGGCACTTAGCTGATTCTCCATAAGAGGTCACTATATCATTAACATTATTATTATCAATAAAATAACAATTCAGTAAATATGCATTGAATTTCTGTGCTCCAAGCACTATGTCTTGCAGAGCAGAAGTTATACAGGCAACTTCAGAAGTAAATCATGGTTGCTGACTCTAAGGAGTTTACAGCCTAATTTGGGAAAAGAGGTAAACACAACAAAGATCATAATATAAATAATAATAACACAGGACCAGGCACAGTAGCTCACACCTATATCCCAGCACTTTGGGAGACCGAGGTGGGAGGATTGCTTGAGTCCAGGAGTTTGAAACCAGCCTGGGCAACTCAGCAAGATGCCATCTCTAAAATAATAATCACAAAATTTATGTACATGTATGTATATATGTATATCTACCACAAAGACCTCTGGTGAGTCAGCAGGGAAGGGGCTGTTTTTGTTTGGAGAGGTGAGAAAAGTCTTTGGGAGAAGATGGTGGCATTTGAGATGCGTCATGAAGGAGTGGCTGAGGTGTTTGAGTTAGGACATCCCAGAAGCAGCTTCATGAACAGCCTTGTGACGATGGAATATGCAGACCACATTCTTGGACAGTTGTTGGTTGGTTTGGTTCCTGAGAATGGTGTCCAGGAAAGACGGGGTGCACTGCTGAAGATGACGCTGGGGTCACATTGGTGACCCCTGGAGTGCCAGGCTGAGCTCTTCTCAGTGTGTGGGGGACTGACCAGGGATGAGATCTGACAGGTGGAGTATTGAGATGTTTTTCTCAACAGTAGTGTAGTGGGCCCTTTGGTTATCAAATATCTATATAACTTTAAATTCTCGGTTTCCAGTTTTATTGTATAATGTCTAATATTATTTTAATTGCATTTTCAGAAAGCATTCACAGTTTGGGGTTATTTACATAGGTGATAAGGTTTATAAACTCTTTGAAACCTGGTACTGCTCGGTTTGACCTGTATATTTTTTGCCAGAGCGCCACATATAGCTCAGACAGATATAAATTTAATCTGTGATCTTTGGTTTTCATTGATTCAAATAACTGGTAATGACAATGACTTCTCCCCAAACCTGGATAAAGTGGCCACTAATAGCTATTGTTCCTGAGATCTCAACACAGATGATTTGAAGGCGAGGAAGCCAGATCCCCATTTTCATAGAACCAGGATAAAGACAAAACCAGCACCCACCCAGGTGGCCCCTGACCCCCAGCAGCGTAGGTTTGAAGTTTAAGGTGCATCTCTGATTCCTACATCTGCATCAGGAAGCTTCCTCTAGGTCTTGAGACTCAGATGTGAGGGATTTAGCTACGTGTGTTCTCTCAAGGGTGCTGGTGTCATTACATGTGGTGAAGGTGGATGACAGAAAGGTGGCTCCCACCCAGAGCCCCATCGTGTGCAATCAAGGTGCCCAAAGCTTCCCTGTAGACCGGTTTCCCAGTCCTTGCTATGGACATCCTCTCCTGTCGCTACTCCAGAACGCTCTCCTGGGACATGGTGTCAGAGAAAAAGCACAGACGTGGGTTTCAGATGAGCCTGGGTTCTATCCTGTTTTTTCCCACTTACTGCCCATGGGACCTTGGGCAGGATGTTCTTATTCATAACTGGACATAAAAACCTTTCCTCTTGGAGAGTTCATGCATGTACAGTTTAAAATGACAGGCTCTGGAGTCTGACTGCTTGGGCTTGAAGCCCAGACCTACCTTCTCACGGTGGGAACTTGAGCAGTTAGTCTCTAGGTCTCAGTGTTTTTGACTATAAAATGGAGCTTGCGTAAGTACTGGCCTCCTAGAGTAATTATGAATAAGAAAGGGTTTAACACAGTGGTCCCCAATGTTTTTGGCATCAGTTACCTGTTTCCCAGAGACAACA